TTATGCGTTCTTATAGTTTTCGTCTTAATGTAACAAGAACGATTCTAAGTACAATCATTAATTATGTTTTACACCCTTTTCTGTGATGAAATTTGAAAATTTGGGAATTTTTAGAATTTTAGAAGTTGACAAAATTGAGAGATTCAAAGATTTGAGGAACTTGGGGAATCTAGGGTATTTGGGAATTCGAGGACTTTGATAGTTTCAAAATTTTGAAAAATATGGAAATTTGGAAAATTTGGAAAATTTGGAAATTTTAGAAATTTTGAGAATTTGGGGAATTTAGAAAATTTTGTGAGTTAGGGAATTTGGGGAATAGGAAGAGCAATTTATAAAATTTGGAAAATTTAAAATATTTGGGAAATTTGGTGATTTAGGGAACTTGGGGAATTTGAGAAATTTAGAAAATTTAGAAAATTTAAAATATTTGAGGATTTTGGTGATTTAGGGAATTTGGGGAATTTATCAAATTTAGAAAATTTTGTGAGTTAGGGAATTTGGAGAATTGGAAGAGCAATTTATAAAATTTGGAAAATTTAAAATATTTGGGAAATTTGGTGATTTAGGGAACTTGGGGAATTTGAGAAATTTAGAAAATTTAGAAAATTTAAAATATTTGAGGATTTTGGTGATTTAGGGAATTTGGGGAATTTATCAAATTTAGAAAATTCAGTGAGTTAGGGAATTTGAAGAATTGGAGAAGTTGAAAAATTTAGAAAATTTGGAAAATTTAGAATATTTAAGAAATTTGGGGAATTTATCAAATTTAGAAAATTCAGTGAGTTAGGGAATTTGAAGAATTGGAGAAGTTGAAAAATTTAGAAAATTTGGAAAATTTAGAATATTTAAGAAATTTGGGGAATTTATCAAATTTAGAAAATTCAGTGAGTTAGGGAATTTGAAGAATTGGAGAAGTTGAAAAATTTAGAAAATTTGGAAAATTTTGGTGATTTAGGGAATTTGGGGAATTTATCAAATTTAGAAAATTCAGTGAGTTAGGGAATTTGAAGAATTGGAGAAGTTGAAAAATTTAGAAAATTTGGAAAATTTAGAATATTTAAGAAATTTGGGGAATTTATCAAATTTAGAAAATTTTGTGAGATAGAGAATTTGGGGAAATGGAAAAGTTGAGAAATTAAAAAAATTTGGAAAATTTAGAATTTTTTTAAGAATTCGGTGATCTAGGGAATTTGGGGGATTTAGTAACATAATCAATTTTGAGAATTCTATAAGTTTTGTAATTCGAGAACTTGCAAACATTAAACGTACAAAGTCGGCTATTACATCAGCATAATCATAATAATATACAGACTCATAATATCCATATCTCGAATTAACAAATAACCTAATACTAATACTAATAATAATTAGTACTGCACATCTTCCAATAAAGATTGACACAGTTTAAGCGCGATAAACATTCGCTACTATTATTTAGGTCACGATCGGCACTGTTCGACTAATCAAAAATAGTCTGGCATTTATTAATAATTCGTCAGTAAAATAACCCACAGTATATACTAAAAATAATATTCAGCGTGTTGAACAGTTCTTTTACGAGTGGACTCGAGTGAAGTCCCATTCTCCTGTAGCGATCGATATTAAAAAGAAATAAAACCTAACCGACACGGCCTTTCTGTTCATATCTCTCTGTAAATGTATGCAACATTTATGCCTTAATTACGTTTGCTTAAGATCATTATGCATATCGATTCAAACGCCACAAATATGTCGGGTCTTGGCCACAGAAAGATTTATGGTTACGATTGTGTACTGACTTAACACAAAAAGTTCTTGCAATATTTTTATGTTAAAAAAAATGTGTGGAATAATTTTGTGATTGAATTATAACTGAAAAATATACATATTAAAAATATACTTTTATATTATAACTTAAAAAGCGCGCCAAATAATTTCAGCGCGGGAAATTCGAAAATTGTACCGAACGTTTGCGCGGGAAAGTTAAAAATGACGTCGCAGTCTGGTTACGAAAATTTGAAAACTATCCACAATGACGCTAGCGCGGGAAATTGAAAAATTATATTCGAGAATATTAGTATAAGTTTAAGCTTTTCGATGAAACTTCAAACTTGTGAGTTCAGATAAAGATAGTTCTGTTCTAACCCATTTTATTGACAACAAATAATACGGTTTCATATATACGAGCTAATTTTTCTTTTTCATGAAAACCTTGTAAACGCTTATATACCGTAAGCCGCTAAAACAACGACCGTGCTTATCGATACGATTAGACGCGTCTATATCGAGTAGCTTTGTCGTAATTCCGTCTCGAATGTATATATATAACTCTCTATGTGTGGTCGATTGAATGGTAATGACATTTCTCACAATCGCGTTTGAAGGAAGTCGAGTGAAGCGGGTTGACCCTGAATTCATCATACCACGGTCAAAACAAAGGAACGAGTGACTTAATAAATTCCAACAATAGTAACACGAATACTACAGCTAAGAATATTATCATTCGGTTCACGCACACTGAACGCTTCGTATATTATGTATTACTTGAGATAACAATTATAAACGAGATAATACTAATGCATAATTAATTTTTATAAAATTAACAAAAAGAGAAAAGTATAGAAGCACTTTCTCTAGAAAATGACGCTTTGAATGGAGATCCACGGTAGATGTTTACAGTGGAGAGTTATGATATTTAATAATCACAAATTACACAATTTTTCTCTAAATTAATCTTGAAAAAAAGAAAAGGTAAATCATGAATATCTCAAACGGTGACCTCTATCGTCGGAACGTATGTGGGTAATGGGACGAGTTTAGCCAATTAACAACTGTTTTATCGACAGGGTAAATCCTGGGGCAATGACCTCGTTGTTGAGGAGCGCTTGACCTATATATCACTTATGTATCCAGCAAGCGTACACGTGTATAACTCGTGTTCTATTATTTGTAACTACCATTACGTGTAATTATCCCTATTAATATTTTTCAACGTTCCTTTCGAAGTACCTTATCGTCCGAAAATTTACCGATAATAAATTTCACGCATAGTAACGTTTCGTAGATAAAAGAAAAATACAATGACGTTTAGTAATTTCATCATTTGGAATGACAAAAAACGTATTATTGTGCCGTGTTTTATTCGTTACTGATAACAAGGTTGATATCAATGATCAAGTATGTAAAGTAACAATCGAACGTTATCGATTACGAGTTAATTAAGTTTAGGGACGAACAAAAGACGTGAACAGATATTCACGGCCATTGCCAAAGAGAAGTCGCTTTAAATAGCTAACCAAGGGAGCATGCCTTTTTAACTCAGGTCAATAACACGCGATTGATCACGTTGTTTGCGTACAACAAACATCATTATTATCGATAAAAAATACAATGATCGATTTATCTCTTATCGCATTATCGAAAATTTTTCAACTGGAAGATTTTACGATGTTTCATTACTTTGAAACAATGAATACAATGCAAAATACGTCGGATGAATATCGCTCTATTATCATTCTAATTTGACTACAAAACAACCGAACGAGAAGGTCGAAAGAGGGCAACATCCTAAGAGTCAATGTCCTGTTGATGACAACAGGGAACACACCCGAATCAGGTCATAAACGATTCACTTATTCCACTTTGATACATACATGATCCACTAACATAACTCACAAAGAACATCGCGTGTTTCGTGATAAAGGTATGTCAAATAGAATTTCGAAACGTTCAATGAATAACGATTAAATGTTTAAAGGGTGTTTTTGTGAGTTGCGTACCTGCCACCTCGAGGGTACTGCCAATTATGCGTCTCGTGGGACGACAATCCAACAGCGAACAAAAATCCGATTCAGCCACGACGGGCTGTTGTTTTCGTCACAAAACACTGCACATGTTATCACACAGCATTGCACGTTTTCATGAGAGAAGTCTTCCCTTCGCTCGAACGAACGATCGTCGCAAACGAACGTGGTTTACACAAAATTCACCTTCTTACTAGGCCCAATACCGCCATATTTCCTGTTGTCCCGACTACTCGGGCACAGTAGTTCCACGACCTATATAACACCATTAAGTTGGGTACACTCGAAACACGTTTTCGGCATCGTAACCCCTAGCGCCCAGTGGCAGACATTTTTCTATGTCCATTCAAATTTTTACGCGGAAAAAATAAACGTGTAATACCGACCGAATTAGATATCATTGTTTCATTAATTTTAATCACATTTTAGCGCTAAAATATTTTTAATTATACTGTTCAATAAAAAGATGTGTAAAAATAATGTGTAATTGTAAAAAATATTTTCGAAGATTATCATAATGTAAATGAAAATATATCAGTACATATAATTTTAAATAAATAAAAGTAACAATTATAACAATGGTAAATTTATTCTTAAATAATTTATTGAATAAAATTAAAATTCTAAGGAGTTTAATTAAAAAAAATTATATTTAATTCTAATAATCAAGATGATATACATGATAAGGAAAAATTGTTGACGTTATCAAATTTTACAGTTAATTTTTAATTTTATAATTTTATTCACATTAGAGATATGTATTATGTCACATTTATGTGATATAATCTCACAATTTACATTTGGAAATAAATTTACGTTTCATTTCTTATTTTCCGTCTTGTTCAATAATGTTAGTATAATATTTAGTATAAATAGTAGACTAAGATCATAAGGCAATACAGATCATCAAAGATCAAAGGTTTTGTAGTGCCCTCTACGATTTACAACGTTATTATGCAACCGTTTGATTCATGCGTGTTTATTGCACGATACTTGGAAACCCTAACGTGCAGAGTTGCTAATCGTGCATTTAACAAGTACTTACTGGACTATCGCCATCTAGCGGTAGAAAATGAGAACTAATTAAACTGCAGTTTCAAAAGTGTGTAGTTCACCCTGTTCGCAGGAGAGATGGCGCCACTTGTTTTCATAAAAAATTCAAAAATATTTCTATTTTAATTGACGACAGATTGCTTTAATTGCTTAGTAAATCAACACTAATTAACTCTAGAGCCTTTCTAGTGCGTTCATAAATCGAAAAAATCAGTAAACTCAAAAATTTTTTTCGACAATCAGTATTATTAGTTCCCGCCTCCTGGCGCTAAATGGCTACAGTGTTTTATGCTCCGTGAAACGTTTATTAGTCTATTTTGTATAAAATTACTTGTTGTTGCAGAGAGATGTGCACAAATAATTTAAGAAATATAAAATATTGTATTCTTTCCAAAACAACATATACAACATAAAAAAATAGTATACTTCTTTTGATAAACTTAGTTGAGTTCTGTTTACTCGATCGAAAGCTGTCAATGACAGCTGATTGGTACTGTGATTGAATAATTCTAAAATAAAAATGCCGAAAGTAGTCTCAAGAAGTATAATCTGTTCGGATACTAAGGATCAAGAAGAATACAGCGAAGAAAAACCATTGCACATTTATTATTGCTTATGTGGGCAAATGACATTGATTTTAGGTTAGAATAATTTCAGTTGTTTACATGCATTATTTTATTCCAATACAAGTTGTAAATAAAGGTATATATAACACGTATTTTTACATATTTTTACAGATTGTGCTATAGAAAAGTTACCTTTGAGAAAAAGAGATGGTGCACGTGTCATTGATGGAAGTAAACATGCCCACAAGATGACTTGCGAACAAGATGAAGTCGTATACTTAAAACGCGCCGAAGGCATAGAAAAACAGTATCGTCAGAAATGTAAAAAGTGAGAATGTTATGTTTTTATATATATTTACTTAACAATATTTCTTAAAGATTTAAAAGAGATTTGAGATTCTGAAAATTAAGATCTCATCATCCGTATATACATTATAAGTCGTTTCTATACCTTGTAAGAGCTGTAAATTATAATTTGTACATATACTTTCACAGATGCGGCTTGTTTTTGTATTACAAACATGATCAAGGAACAAATATTGTATTTATAGTAAAAGGTGCAGTAATTAAAAGTTCTGGTGAAGGTCCAATGACAGATATATACAACCAAGTTGCTATCGAAAAACCCAAGAAGATAATGGTAACAAAACATACCAAGAATATGGGAAAATTCAGTTCTGTTACTGTCTCTACAATTGATGAAGAAGAAGATGAAATTGAAGCGGTAATTTATTTATTTGTCTTCTAAAAACCACAGTAAAATAATTGGTGCTAATAAAAAACTAATGATACTGAAATAGGATAAAGGAATCAGTGCACGTATTAAATGCTACAAACTAAAACTACATTTGTTTCTAACAAAACATATACATTACTTAAAAGCAGTACTATATTAAGAATTAAAAAAAATTTATGAAGATGATTTTTTGGGTTTTGTTTTTAAACAAGTAATTTATGTTAAAAAATTTCATGCTTTCAGAGAGAAGTTGCTGATTCATACGCTAATAATGCGAGGATAATAGAGAAACAGTTAGAAAGAAAAGGAATGAATAAACGAAAAGCTATGCCCCCTCCTGAAGCGGATCCAAAAAGGACAAGACCCAGAGGAACGTTATTGGATGTGTAAATATCGATTGTATTATTGTCGTGTATATAAATTAAATTTTATATAAAAAACAGTAAAAAAATAAATATTGTATAAATCTTTTGTGAGTTTCAACTTATATTCTTTTATTGTACCAAACCTTCTTAAAAAGTAATGATCCTAAAAAATTAAGTCATTTGTTAACATTATATCGAATTATTTATTAACATTACATAAAAGTAAATATTTAAAATATAAATGACTAGATACAAATATTGCATAAAAATGTACATTGCAAAATAGAGATATAAATTTAATAAATAAATACAATAACTACTTATAATTCATCAATAAGAATCGCATGGAGGATAAACGGAGTTCTACTTACAAGTATTAATTGGTAAAATGGCAACGTTAAATGGTAAGAAAAAGTTACTTTACACATTCTGCAATTAATCAAATTAGTAAATAATTCTACGAGATAATTACGGATGATATGGCTCTTTAATGTGGAAGAAAGAAAGATCTATCTAAATGTATCGTACGTATAACTGGCCATGTTACATCTACGATCTATAAATATGCAGTGTGTAATACTATGACATATTAATGCGCACATTGGTTGAAAATTGGGTGGGATATTAAGCTAGCTGCGTTTGTGATCGTGATACTTTTCAAAGACATCCTAGTCGTGTAATAGTTTAATCGAATGCAATCAATACTTAAGACGTCTCTAACATTCCCACTTTGCCATATAATCGAAGATAACCCAAAAAAACGACTTTAGTTTGCGTACTCCTAGTGCCATGTTTCATAATTACCTTCAACGTTACAACAAAATCATAGCACATTTTTCTATATATCTAATAAATGCATTTCAAATATATTCCTTTTGATTATTAATATCAACTGCAACTTGCTTCAAATTAAAATTATATAATTCTATTTTTACACATAGTACGGGTCCGCGGTTAGAATTATCACGTTTCGCGGTTAAATACGATAGTTTCATTTCTCTTTAATAATATAATTCGTAAAACTAACGGCGCGATGTATGAACAGAAACACACATAGCGACCAGTCTGTGTATTTAAGTGTTAATCTGAGAAGATTTAATATCCGCTTTCTTAAGTATTGTGGGCTCGTCTTTCAAAAAGGTACCCGATCTAGAACCCACCGTAGGTTGTTTCGGGACTTCCCCGTTATGGCACTTGTTTTTAACTTTTTCATCAGAGGATGTTTTACTATTAGCGGTTACTCTTTTGTTAACGACAGCGGGTTTACTTATTTTATTAGTGCCAGACGATTTAGGGGAAGATCTTTTGCTAGGGCTTTCGGAGCCCTGTTGATTCAACACCGATTCTTTCTTTTCTCTCGTCACGCTAGGGTGATTAACCGTGGATTGCGTAACCGGCCGAGCGTTTGCAGTTTTATACGACACATTATTCAATGACTTACTCGGGACGTCCGGTGTCTTTGCAGCGTCTAAAAGATTTCTTCGCAAATGGTAAGCACTTATGGCTGCAGCTCTGCTTCTACTAGCTGCAGTCGAACTTTCCAAGGATCTTCGTGGTCTCCTCGCCGCTGTCAGTGGACTTCTTTGCTGCATAGGCGGTGAATTTTTCTTCGCTCCTTTGTCGAAAGCTTGCGCTTTGTTCGTAGTTTTTCCTAAAGTCGGTGAAAGTTTGTTTGACGTGTTTGATTTGGGCGTTGTTGTTATCTCAGTCATCAGACTATCAGTGGACATCGAGGTATCCATCTTGTTCGGCTTCTTTTTAACGACTACGGGCTTGTTCTTCGACTCTGCTAACGAATCTACGGATAAACCTATTTCTGTATTTTTTTGTTTGAATGACGGCGATTCTGGACGTGTAATGCCACAACTCTTACTGATTGAATCTTTTTTGTTATTTGTTCTACTAGCGTTCGATTCGGTTAAACTATCCGAAGAAAGAGCTTTCACGTCCTTTTTAATAGGCAACTTTATCTTGGCCAGTGGTTTCTTATCGGTAGCACGTTTCATTGCCGGACTAGACGTTCGAGATGAATCTGAAGACGAAATCATTATTTTCCGTCGTTGTTGTACCATTACCTTCTCTTGTTGCGGCGGTTGCGTGGTCTCTTTAGGAACAGATTTATTTCTAGGTTCCAAGTACCTTGATTTCACCTAAAAAATTAGTATGTGAAAAATTCTGGATAAAAATAGCTTCTTGAAAAGCATCTGCAATTCGTTTACAATTATTGTTAGAAGTTTAGTATTTACAAAAGTACCCAGTAGGTGTGTTATTAATGGAGAACCTTATAAAAATTAGACAGTGTACCTCTAATTTATTGGGCCACGATTTTGGTCGAGTTGTATCCGATGTGGTAGGTTTATCAGTTTGCATTTTACGTTCAAGTGGATCGCTCTTCGGCTTGTTAAATACTTTTTTCGTTTGCTGTTGTTGAACCACTGCCATTTGTTTCAAAGTTTTATGATTATGCTCGGATATAACCATTTTCACGCGTTTTAAATCTAAGCTTCGATTCGTCATGGAACGACTTGATGTTGGTCTAGGTTCCTGTAGCAAATAAGCACATTAATCAAACAAGCAATATTCAGTAAATGATAAAAATGCCATCTTAAGAACTCATAGTGATGTCATAACATCATCATCATTATAGCTTACTTTAACGAAGTTAGGATGTTTCGGCTGACGTTTTATCGTCTCCCGAGGTAAAATTACAAGGCAAGCCAACTCCTGTATCCTGCGTCGAAGTTCGAGGTCCATTTTTAACCACATAGTTGTTCTCGCGGCGCGTGCTGCGTCTCTAACCAAACATTTCTCTACTCGACTCTGAATCTTTTTCAAGAAATCAATAAACAGTGGACCCCATTTAATCTTTTCTTGGGCTTCGTCCTGTTGAACCGACGCTAACATTTTATGCAATTTTGAATAACTCTTGCACGCCTGTTCGGGCGGCAACCGTTCTGCAGCCGCCAAGAAGTTATCTTCCAAACGGCTTATGTTCCACGTTAATTCTCGTCCAAGAGATTGGAAATTTTCATTTCCTAGTACTCCTGAGAAATTGTCCGATAGGAATTTCACCGATGTTTCCAATAAATTCGATACCATTCTGAACACAGGTTCAGCCCAACGTACGTTTGGTAGAGTTGCCAACAGTTTATCACAATCCATCATGGTTTGGAGCACATTATCAGTAGACTGTAACAGAAAAATAAAAGTGGAAAGTTAAATTAATTAAGGACAACTTATCATATTATGTATGAATAAAACAAATTGTATTATTAATTTGATAATACCAATACCAAAAGTACCAGCTTTTAAGAGTACTTACAAAAATTTGAGATATTAAAAAACATACCATGTGTACAATATGCTGATGATAACACTTTGCCATAAGTTCTTTTGGAAGCGTCGCGAAAGCTTTACATGGCCAAATTCGTACAAAATGCCTCGTAACCCATCGTAGAGATTTTCGATACACTTCGTCAAGGCCATAAGCTGCTGCCAGAGGCATACACTCTAATACACCAACAGCGCATATTTGGCAAGGCTATAACAAATCAGATCAGTAAGATACTGTTACAGTAATAAAGAAACTAACAAATGCAAATTCTATATACCTTGTGAAACAAGTGGCAATATTTAACTTTAAGCGTATACCCAATAATTTCTTTAAGACCTTCCAAGCATAACATATCAGCTAGCGTTGCAAGTTCAACTATGCTTATAGAATCTGGTATATTACTTTCTCCGCTGTAAATGTGGCACAATGCAAAATGTACCGCATCATAAGAGTATCCTTGCAGAGAAATAACATTTCCCACACTCTCGATCCATCCACCACTAAGAATCGCCGCAAAGTACTGACAACGAGAACTTAATATACATTTATGAGCTCTTATGCGACGACCACCTACGTCGATCGTTACATCTGGATTGATCTCCTCTAAAAACATCCTTAGTAAATCTTCTCCCAATCTGTTGTATGGTCTACTTCCTGCTAAACTTGATGTCTCAGTCTCTTCTGTGCTTCCTTCTGAAATAAATATAGTTCAAGTCATTTGAAGGTGCTCGTTGATTCTCTAGTCTCATTATATTATAAAACAAGATGTGTTTATACTACATCACCGGTATTAATCTATGTTTTTATTATACTATAATAAATTACCTACCAGCCCCAGAACGACCCATACTGCTCTGCATACTGCTTAAATCAGACTCAGATATAATCCCTTCCCCATCATATTCTCCAGTCAGCTCTTCAAGAGGAGACTTTTGCTTAGGCGGTAACGAAGTGCTCATGATTGACGTGAATTTTCTAGGAGGTGGTCTCACTGACCCATTAGTCCTTGACATTAGCAATTTATTTTCAATCCAAGAAGTCTCCGGAATATTGTTGCGCACCCGATAGGTGCTCCTATCTTCCTTCACGCACAAAATATCAGTGCTATGTGATACTACGGGTGTCTTATCTAAATCAGACAATCGAACAAAGTTTGAGGTTGTTGTTTTCAGACTATGCGACATAACCCTGTCGCTCTTCTTCGACGCCGCATTGTGGTCGTACGTTGTTTCCGTTTGAACATAATCCGGATTCTTCAATTCGCTCTCGATCTTTTTAATCGTCTCGTTCAAAGATTTATGCGTTTCCGATATTTTACTACCTATAGCAGGAACTACTTGAGATCGATCCATATTTGGCACTTCTCCGTTCAACAACTCAGACAATTCGTAATCATGATTATCGCTATCGGGGGATGGACCACTGCCGCTGCTGATGTCAAACGTCTCACTCTTCCGCGTTTGTCCTTCGGTACTTTCTGTACAAGTCTTTTCCCATGCGGAAGTCTCCGAATATTCGTCCTCGTACTTAACGTCGGCGATGTTAAGACTCTCGATCCGTTCAGTTTTCAGTTCGGTGTACTCGTGTTCCTTTATACTAACTCTCAGTTCTTCGTTGATTATTTCAACGTGGGAATTTGGAGGCGTATCTCTGACATCATACTCAAAGCAATCTTCGGAAGACGTGTCCATGTTAGATGCGCCATTACCGTCCTGAAGGAACTTCTTCTGCGTAAGGGACTCTGGCTTCGCTGTGTCGCTCAACGAGTGACTGGAATTAGGCTTCCCTTGTAATTTCTTCAAGTCTCCTCGATCCACGGAAAGACTATGAGCACGCTTGTGCTCTTTCCTAAACATCAGTTCCTTCGCGATCTGCCCGTTGTTGTTAACATTCTGCGTCTTGTCCACGTTCCAAGAATGCCGTTTGAACGCCGGCCGAGACGTGGACAGAGTTCTTCTTCTCACCACTGGAGAATCAGACTCTATGTACATAAAGACACTCGGTTTAGCTTTCTCTCTGACACACTTTTGTTCGCTCGACAATTGATCTTCCCTCGTGGTGATACTATTTTTACCGGAATTAGTGTCATCCGATTTTATTTCTATCTGTTTGTCGGAGAACGCGGAGAAACTCCTCCTGTGCGAAGGCTGCGCAGCGTTTTCACTGTTCTTTGGCGGATCGCTCAGATCGATGAACATAGAGAAAATATTCTTTTTGTCGTTTCCCTCGGCAGGTTTTTCGCATTTGACTTCTTCCACCTCCTCTTTCTTCGGCTTCGGTGAATTGTTCGCGCCGGACATGTCGACGTAGAATTCGCAGTACGATTTACTGCACCCATTCTGTTCCTTTTTGTCCGTCGGGTGATTCTGCTGCGTGGCAGGCTTGCTGTCCATGTCCTTCAAATTGACAAAGAAACCTAGACTCCCGTGCTTTTCATGATTGCTGATCTTCCTCGCCGGTTTCTTCACGCATTCGGAACTCGAGAAACTCTGAGACATTCCGTGAGCGTTGCTTGGCTTGGGGTCGTTTTTATTACAGTCGCTCATATCAACCACCCACGCGGTCATGGAAGAAGACATTCTCGCAGGTTTTATTCTAAGGTCAGGTTCGTTCATGATAACGGAACCTCCAGAAACGATAGGAGTGGATTCCGTTTTCCGTCGCACAGTGGGACTATCGGTAGGCTTAGAATAGTCCGATGTGCTGACACCTCCGGAAATAATAGGCGTAGTCTCGTCGCACTTAGTCTTCTTTATCGTGTCAGTCCTACTATCCTTCTCTAAGATGCAGCTTAAGGTAACGGGTAAACTGTTGCTACAGTTGCTCGAATCGTTGTCCAACTCCGTATGGTAATCCGTGACTATTTCATCGCTGGCGCTCTTTGTTACCGGATAAATGTTACTCTGCGAGAAAGTATCGGTTTCTGACGACGTGTGATTGCTTTCATATTTTGCGTTGTCCAGGGATAGGTACGGTATCTTGTGGTATGGAGTGTCGCTTGGTATTTGAGCATCCATGGTGAACTTGTTTAGTACAGGGTTGATCGGAATCGGAGGTTCGTCTGGAGGGTTAAAACACGAATCGCCGTCAACCCGGTGCCCCGAATACTGAGGTATAGCATTCTGGAACACGAGATTGCCCTGCCGTCGTTCGTATTCCTGTCGTAACACCGACAGTTTCTCGTCATTCGAGTCCAGCTCGAACGTGTTCCTTCTAATGAGAGAAGGTCGTCGGGTATCTTCCGTTGAGTCGACGTCTTTATCGTTAGTTTGATCGTTCGTTTCTTTCTTAGTGTATGCGGTGACGGAGTCACTAGTGTTATTTATTCGTGATGTAACGTGCCTGTCATTGTTTATATTTGTATTATTGTCGGGGCAGGGAGAAGGATGCGCACTTTCACCGCTGTCTGCTTCCTTAATTTCTACTGCTAATGATTCTTTGTTTGTTGCTGTATTGGAATTTATCTTATCTTCGGAAATCGAATCAGTTCTTCTTACTTTCTGAGTGTCAGTAAGCGGTTCTAGGTACTCTGTAAGTTTCAACTCTCTCTGGAATTCTGCCACTCTTTCGTGTCCACTTTGTAAATTAGTTGCTTTGAGCGGAGTGAATTTGTAACATTGTTCTTCAGCGAAGTCGTTGGACTTACTTGAAAGGTACTTGAAGGTATAGGGAGAGTATGATTGTGGTTTGTCGTCGAAACAATGATTTTTAACTACGTTTGAAGCTGGAACCTCTACTTCGTCGTTAAGCGTTGATGCATCAATGAAATAATAATTGCTTGTGTTACAGGAACTTTTTTGTTTGGGTACATCATGAGAAACTTCATGTTTTATGCTTCCTGACTGTGTAGTGTCAGATTGGGAATAATTAGATTGACACAAATTTCCATCTTGTAACTTTTCAACCGAATCTTCCTTTGCAGATGCTCTTTCTACATCAGTACTTACTGATGATGCATTACCAAGATCAATAAATTCAAATGATTCGTTTTCATCGCTGCCACAGTCTGATTCATAAAATGGATCGCTAAGTACTTGGTTTTCATATTGAAAAATTTCATCTGTATGAGTTTTGGGTTTTTGAGCGTTGTCTGTGGATGAACTAGAAGAGTCTAATTGAGGCTGTTCTGCATCGACAGAAGAGCATGTTGCACTATGATCATTTGAAGCACATTCCATCAACCCTGACTCTACCAAGTCCTTCAAATGACATGCGCTGTTATAATTAGTTGAATTGTAATGCTCATTGTCTATAACTACTTTGTGATCTTTATGGTTTCCACGTCTAGCCCGTATTTTGTCTGTATTGTCATTTGTTGAAGCATACTCTGTGACTTGCAATTCTTCAAAGTCGGTGCTCGAATTCTCAGATGTAGTATTTTCATGTGGACTTACAGAACCAGTTTCTAAACCAGAATCAGCCATATCGGACAAAGTGGGACTTACATCCACTGGAGCATATTCTCTTACATTTCTTGCACTTTCAATGCTTGTTAAGGGACAATTTGCTGATGTATAATCCACATATCTTTAACATAAAGAAAAGCATTGATGAAAAAATACTGTAGTGTTTAATATGAACAAGATAAATTTTAAAACATTATAATTCTAAGTTGTAACCTTTTATTAACATCTGATATTTTGTTAGTAGAGGATGAATTCACAAACTTTGAAGCACTCAGAATGTGTTTTACCAATAATTGTTCTTCATTCAATAAATTTGAATTGCTATATAGAAGCCTGAAAATATAAGAATTATCAGTATAAATATATAGAAAAGGAAATGAATCTAATACATGTTATTCTATCATGTGCATTTTATAACAGTGATAGTAAAAGGATAAATATAAAGGATAACTTACTAATAACTATAATTTACACTGTGCATTAAAATATAGGTTTGATCACAAAAATGCAAACTTTATGTAAGTTTTATGTGCACAAAAGTATTGAAATAAGCATGTGTTTAAATTTACAAATTTTCAACTTAAAATTAGAAAGACATTTGCCATATCCCAAATAATCAAAAAGAGTTTTTTATTTATAAGTATAAATTAAAGACAATGAACATAATATATATCATAAACAAATTCTTTAATATATTACAAAACATATAATACTTTATTAAAAAATCATCTTTTATTTACAATTTACATAAATGCATGCAGAGACCTTTAGTTTAAATATAGGGAATACATTGAAATGTTAATTCAGAAAAATTTGTGATTCAGTAACATTGTTGATATTTTTCTTATATTTAAAATAATTTAATGTTTATAGCAAATGTATATTTACACAAATGTTTCTGCATTATACAAGAGTCCATACAGACATAATTTGATTATATGAGTAATAAATATATATACAGTTTTTATAGATACTGCTTCTAGATAAATGATTAGGAATATGGCAGTACCTCACAAAGCCTTCTATATGATGAAAAATTTCCAGTTTATCAAGGATGCAATCAATATGATTGTTAATGTGCATAAAATAAGGCTTGAGAACCTTGTAAAAATGTGGAGCTCTTGTTTTAATAATACACTGGTTTGTTCGTATGATATTATGTCCATATATTATGTTAAAATCACAATACAAAGAATCCGTAAATATGCTACAATAAAACATTCTATTCAGTTTATGTATTTATAAATTTACATTTTGTACACAAAAATTATTTGATACAAATACAAACTGTAAACAGATGCAACAAATATTACAAACTCAAATCTTTCACGGATAAACTTTCTAAATTAAAAGTTTCAGATATTTTATAATTTTGTACCATATATTATACCAATCATTCCAATATTCAGTATTATACACATTATTTGTACAAATAAAATTATACAACAAAAAGTAATTTTATAAAATTTTAATTGTATCATGCTGGGATTTATAAAGGTTTCATACAACTGTAAATTTGATTATTGTTTTTATTTATTTTTTCAATTTCTTAATTAATGATATGAATGTATGAAATAAAATAAAATTATTATTATTTTACCTCAAAATGTTATCTTGTAGATTTCTAAGACTGTTTGTAACAATCCGATTCTTTTCTTTGCGTTGATGTTTTTTAAATATTTCGCTTGAAGGAAGTTCAAGCTTGACAGAAGTATAAAGCTGATGGCAATAAAGCCATTGATGTATTCTGTCTAAATTTCCACTTTGCTTGTTGTTGCCCCTGCCTCCAGCCATGAGACATGTTTAATGTTTCATACTTTTCCACCTTTAATCCGTTAAACTTTTATATGTATAAGAATAAAAAAAAATACAGATAAATTTAAAGGTAGGCACAGGTTTGTATGTTGCATACAAATTTTATATTTAGCATTTTATATTATTTAATTCTATGTTATACAATTTTTTTATTTGTAATGAATTTAGCTTCATTTATAATTGACAGAGTTTTATCATAGGTGCTGAAAGAAATGGTCAAGCAAAAAGGACTCTAATACTTCTTTCTACAATGTATGCATCGCTGACAAAGTACATAACAATTTCAAGGTCAACACAGCAGATACTCCTTGCATAGTAATTATCAAGCCTTTCATAGTATTTTAAATGTATAAATAATCACATTATATCTTTAATATATTATAAGATTAAACGAACTGTCTACTCAATTGCGGATTATTACATAATATTTTCGAAAGTGTCTTTTAAATCATATTTAATAATCAGTGAGAGCAAATAATACAGCTACTTTGCGTTTAACCTTAAATACACAATCCTGCGTATAAGTTTGAGAATAAAATGTTCAAATAAATCTATGAAACGGAAGTTTGAAAATTGGAATAAATTAAGATACAAATGCCAAAAATAAACTTGTACAATTCTAGCACAGTTCAAAGCAAGAATTCACCATTTGAACGAAATATATCCAATGCCGATTAATTGATTTATTAATAAAATTTCATATCGTAGTACACAAAATATAATTTAAAATCATCGTTAAGGGCTTAAGCTTCTCTGACATCTAAGAAACACTGGTTAAAAACATTTAGTTGATTATCATTTAAACATCTTCGTACAAATTCGAAGTGCGACTAACTTTCAAGTATTAAGAGTAACATCCAAGTTAGTACAATTTAATATAATATATTTATTTTAAAGAAGTCATGAATGAACGAAAATCTTCTCAAATAACATGATGGAACGTTGAAATTTCTTAAATATATTTTTGACAAGCCTTTCTCAATGATTTATTGATCGCACTTCGTACATATGTAACGTACCTCGCATTATTTCGGTTCTTGGACACCGGTCTGGATATAACATGATTATACGATGTTACGAGACATAATTTTCTCGCGCATTTTGTTCGACACGTCCGCTACGAAATTCGGCGGATATTAACGGTATAACACTGTAAAACGTTTACTTGTTTGTTGTTCAAAACACATAAATATGCGACGTTCGTTCTCGATCCGAAAGCGTGAGACTGTCTACTCTAGGTTCCGCTAGGTGACGCGCGAATCGAGATCAATTTTTTATTTTGAGGTTAGGTACAAGAATGTTCTGTCAAATTTCTCCATATGAGTTCTCGTTTCACAGATAATGGAACTTCTCATATGTCGAATTTTCATTCATTCCGCGCATATTGGCTCTGATTGGTTCTAGCAACTCTGCAACCGGGTATACCACACATGCGCTTTTATTAAATTTACGACGACAGGATTATATACCTTGTAGTTCTTTTACTCGAACTTTTAGATTTTCCAATTTTCAATTTTTTTAAATCTCAAATTTCCAAATTCTAAAATTTTGAGAATCTACAAATTTCTAAAACTCCAAATTTAAAGATATTGATATTCTACAATCTTTAAATTTTTAAGTTCTTACTAGTCGAGAATTTACTGATCACCATATATATACGGAAATAGAAGAACAACAGAGTGGTAGGGAGTATACTGAGCTCAGTTGAGGTGCGCGAAAAGGATTCGATCATCTGTGAAACAAAGTGTATGTGCAACACTGTTTTGTTACATTAATCATGTTTACCTGATGAATATTGAAAATGAACACGAGAGAAAAAGAGAAATACATCGAAGAATTCGATTTTCCTCATTGCGACGAATCTTCGAAGTATGAAAAGGTCGCGAAAATTGGTCAGGGCACCTTTGGGTATGTTTGACACAAAATTGTAATCCTCTTTTAGGTTAGGTTGAATACACGGTAAAAGTTTTTACTATCTTTTAATTTTAATAATTATTTTGTAGAGAGGTGTTCAAGGCTAGAGATAAAAATTGTACTAAAAAGTTCGTAGCTATGAAAAAAGTATTGATGGACAATGAAAAGGAAGGGGTATGTACACGTTCAAATATTCGATCGTTTAATGCATCTCTTTCCATTTTTTGTCCACATCGTCTGATTATATAAAAATGCAAAACGTTTGTATATAAACAATAATTTGTTGTATTTATATTCTGTTTAATAAAAAATGTTATATCTTTAAGATGTACTTGTTAATGATGGGGCATGATGACAAAGTACAATGTTGCAAACAAATGTGGTGTAAGTCACCAATTAATCATCTTGCTATTTAACTAAAAAATAATGAAGGTAGACTCATGAAGGCTTGTATCATGTCCATCACTAGTATTTACATTTTAATGAAATATTTTAAAGTAGAATATGTATAACAGTATTCCTCATTTTTATATTAATCAACTATTTCTTTACAGTTTCCTATAACTGCTTTAAGAGAAATAAGGATATTACAATTATTGAAACATGAAAATGTAGTAAATTTAATTGAAATATGTAGAACGAGAGGTAAATATTCTATACCTGTATGTAGTTGTACTTCATCAGAATAATATTTTGTTAATACTATTGAAATTGTTTTTTCAGCAACTCAATATAATCGTTACCGTTCTACATTTTATCTTGTATTTGACTTTTGTGAACATGATCTAGCTGGTCTGTTATCAAATGTAAATGTTAAATTTAATTTAGGAGAAATTAAAAAAGTAATGCAACAATTATTAAATGGTCTCTATTATATTCATAGTAATAAGGTAAGTGTATATGAATTGTATGATTAATACAAAATATTGATCCAAATAATCACAATTTGTATCATGTATACATATTTTTATAGATTTTACATAGAGATATGAAGGCTGCAAATGTTTTAATAACAAAAAATGGTATACTAAAATTAGCTGACTTTGGGTTAGCTCGTGCATTTAGTGCAAATAAAAATGGTCAACCAAATCGTTATACAAATAGGGTGGTTACTCTGTGGTACAGACCACCAGAACTGTTACTTGGTGACAGAAACTATGGACCTCCTGTAGATTTATGGGGTGCTGGTTGTATTATGGCTGAAATGTGGACCAGGTTAATATCTTGATGGTATTTGTGGTAATATGGGAATATAAGCTCATTACTATTCAACATTGCAGGTCACCTATAATGCAAGGAAACACAGAACAACAGCAACTTATATTAATTTCTCAATTGTGTGGTTCTATAACAACAGAAGTATGGCCCGGAGTAGAAAATTTGGAATTATTTAACAAAATGGATTTACCTAAGGGCCAGAAAAGAAAAGTAACTATTAGTTTTGCATAATTAAGTTTATGATATACACATGTGAGTAATGTTATTAAGAATATTTTTGTTTACAGGTTAAAGACAGATTAAAGCCATATCTAAGAGATCCTTATGCATGTGATTTGTTAGACAAACTTTTAATTCTTGATCCCTCTAAAAGATACGATTCAGATTCGGCATTGAATCACGATTTTTTCTGGACTGATCCAATGCCGTGTGATCTTAGCAAAATGTTAGCACAGCATACACAAAGTATGTTTGAGTACTTAGCCCCACCAAGACGTCCTGGTCATATACGTCATCCTCATCATCAAGTATCTGGAGGGCCAGCAAAACCTAGTTCTAGCATGGCTGATAGTGGTTACCAAGATCGTGTATTTTAATATTTTTCGTTCCGACAAATATATACTGCCCTCTATCGTTTATTTTCGTTGTCTGTATAAATTTTGATAAATCGTATAACGTTTGATTTTAATGTCATTGATGTATATACAATTTTACGTTAAAGTCAAATATCTGATTCACATAAATTTCAGAAACAAACTGTAAGATTTTTTTTATACATATATACATATAAATATATATATATTATTTATATATATAAATTTTGTACAAACAGAAACAGTCTCCTGATTTAAGCCTTCTATTTCCAAATTTACTTAGTTTCTAGTTAATTATTTGTGTATCGTGTTTTACACAGTTTTTGTTTTTACGAAACGACACTTGAATATTGTTAATTTAACTTTATTATTTTTACACTGGTACAACACTTTTGATTATTACGGAACAGTGAACTAATAATAATTACGCATGGATGATATTTTTCGAACTATTATACATCACGATATTTTAAATAAAAGTAATCGTTAATTGTTGCTTCGGAAAGTAATTTTCCAAGCGCATTATGTCAAAACAAAATTTATTCAATAAACAAATTTCAACTTTACAATTATTCTCGAACCAATAGTGTTATACAATTAATAACTATAAAAGAAATCTTAAACACATACAAGTCTAAATTCACTAAAAATCTAAATTTAATAACTGTAGTACTCATGCAACCAAAGTGAAATAATTAGTAAATTCGATAACTCGTTTAGCAATCGTACATCCAATTTCACGTCTGCATTATCATATTGTCATGAGAAAGCAGTGTCGTGCGTAGCACCTAAATAAAAAATTCAATATGTACATGATTGTGTATGCCCGTAATACTTTGTTACTTTTTATTCTTACGACTACGATAAAATAAACTATCGTACTAATCGATATCTGTAAGGCACAGATAAATATGATTTATATTAAAAATAAATGACGCGACAGTGGTATTTATCACCGGCTATAAAAATATGAATAAAAATTCTTTTAACACAGGCAACATGTTTCGTTTTAAATATTCCATTTCTCTTGTTACAATCGACGTGCTAAATGAACGGTCACTGCAATAATGTATTGATGAAATGACGAACACACATTTATATCACATATATTCTTAATCATCGTCGTTCTTTAAAAGCTGTTCCAAAGGATTCGGGCCCATTCTTTTCGGCTTACTCGTTGATGCTTTCTCCGTACTGTCAGCTGAAATAGTTATTCATCAGTTTAAAAATACATTTCTCCAGAATCATGTGTTTCAAATTTTAAGAAATATATAGGGTAAGATATACTAATTTTGGCACTGTATTCATTGTTATACCCAACACTGTATAGTCATGTTTAAAAATTGTTTATAACTTAATTTTTTGTTTTGATGTCTTAGAAAATTTTAACACCCTATTATTGTATATTTTAAGAATATTTTAATAAAAAATATAATTACATGTGGTGGGTCGTTGAGCATTTAGACAACTAAGCCACTCTGTCATACTTATCCTTCTGTCATTGTTGATATCACAGTATTTAGGCAATCTCTTGCCACATCTTTGAAGCTGCCTATTATTTGCTACCATTGTGCGGAAACTTTTCCATTCCTTTCTCTCTAAAACCTGCAAAAATAGTACATACATCAATAACAATTTTTTAGTCCTTGCAATTCAAGCATGTTTTTTATTAAGATATGAGGAAGGTTAGAGTTAGCAATACATTCAAGCATAAATAATGAGAGTCTGCTGACCACATTTATTCCAATTTAAAAACCAGCAATTTTCTCAATACCTTCTTTCAATTATAAAAAGAAATCTAATATTACAAAATCATTTATGATGCGTTAAATTAAATATATAAAAGAAAATAATAAAAAAAAAAATTTGAGGAAAATATTTCATGCCTTATTCTTGTTTTTATCAAGCATAACAAAATGCCAAGTCGCTATTTGTTCCTCTTTCGAAGCCTGCCACTTGGCCGTCGTCTCGTCCGAGTCCGTTCCGGACGCCTTCATCTTTTTCTGCATTAGATCCATTAAATCTCGTAAGAACAGCTGTTTCTTTTGTTCTGGACAACCTGAAATACCATAAACGATAAATTTGAAATACTTGTTACAAAAAGGTGCACCACAAGGTAGAGTTTAAGAAATGTTACCTTTCATGGGTCTGCTCGGTGTAGGTACAGGATTACAATTCGGAGTACGATCTTTCGATGACGTTCCGGGAATTGGTTTACCGGTGTCTTGATAGACACACCAACAGTAGCCTGAATAACATTGCACTCGATGATATCTACCATCAGGAGTGCATTCAGGCACGTAAAATTTCTCTTGCGAGTGTTGCCTCACGTCCTCCAGCACGGATCGTCTATCCGTTAAACAATCGTTTGCTGTAAATTGTATAATAAAGGTTAGGTTATTGTATTATGTGGATAAAGTAATTGTGGTGGAAATATGGAGAGGTTAAGATTTAGGAATTTGGGATTATGGGAATTGTGGAATATGGGAATTGAGGAATATGGGAATTGTGGAATATGGGAATTGTGGAATATGGGAATTGAGGAATATGGGAATTGAGGAATATGGGAATTGAGGAATATGGGAATTGTGGAATATGGAAATTGAGGAATATGGGAATTGAGGAATATGGGAATTGAGAAAGATGGGAATATAAAAATATGGGAATTTTAAGTTATAAAAATTTTAATAATAAAAATTTCAAATTTCCAACAAAAAAAATGATAAATTTGAAACTGAAGAAACTTCAATATGCAAACTTAAAAATTTCTAAGCACAAAATTTTCTAACTCTACGAATTAAAGTAATAAACCCTGTATAACAAAATGTTTAATAAAACTTGCCATCGCTATCTTCTTTAGTGTCCATTTGATCATCGTTGAACGCTGGTCGCGAATGTACTGGGGCAGGATTGCCTTTCAACACTGTGAAACACGAAAAACACAAGATTACTATAAAACTTTTTGGAAGAACAATAATCGTCTTTCTCATCGGGCGATTATTTTCCAAATTAATATTCACGATTATATACAAGAATTGTTTCACTTCCGGTTTGTGCGTACGCAACGGAAACTCTGTTCCTCTGTACAGCTTGCACTGCTTTCGCGTAGTTTGTTAATACAGCAGTTAATTTGCAAAATAAAAAATGGAAATAGAGATTTTTATTTACACATATGATAAATAATTTTGAAAAACCGTCACCACCCAGCAAACAATATCTTTTTGTACAAAACACATGCCGAATGAAATCGAATAAAGCGGTTCATGAATATGATCAACTATATTTCTTTGCATTTGAGTACAGCCATTTTACATATTTTATGTAACCTCTTTTTACTAAATTAATTGTCCAAAAAATTTTCGTTGAAATTTCATAAATTTCTTATTTTTTTATGGTGAGACTTCAAATGCAAAGGTTCGAACTGCAGTTTTATTTACAATGGAAGATCTCGAATTTGGAAATTCAGAAAAATTTCTAAATTTCTAAATTTTGAAGTTTCTGAATTTCCCAATTTCCAAATTTCAATTTTCTAATTCCAGAATTTCTCAATTCCTTAATTCCCCACTACCTAAATCCCCAAATCGCAATTTTACCAATCCCATAATTTCCCACTACTTAAATCTCCAAATCGCAATTTTTCCAATTCCTAAATGTTCCAGTTCAGGAATTTCCCAATTCCCTAATTCCCCACTACCTAAATCCCCAAATCGCAATTTTCCCAATTCCACAATTTCCCAATTCCTTAATTGCCCACTACTTACATTCCCAAATCGCAATTTTTCCAATTCCTAAATATTCTAATTCGAGTATTTCCCAATTTCCTAATTCCCCACTACCTAAATCCCCAAATCCTAATTTTTCCAATTCCTAAATATTCTAATTCGAGAATTTCCCAATTCCCTAATTCCGCACTACCTAAATCCCCAAATCCCAATTTTTCCAATCCCATAATTTCCCGATTCCTTAATTTCCCACTACCAAATCTCCAAATCACATTATTCTCAATTCCACAATTTCCCAACTCCTTAATTCCCCACCACCTAAATCCCCAAATCTCTTCCCCTCCTAAATTCCCAACCTCAAAAATGTTCATACACTTCCCCCTTTCACATCAAGATCTTCCCTTGCCACCTACAGTTACCAATACACAATTTTGATGTTACATGAAATCGTAGTGATCGGAATGGGTGGTGACGCATAATAAAATTGATGAACGAAAGATCTCTCTGTATCATGATTCATCGTATCGATAAAGATCCATATAAAAGCACATGGTTTTAGAAAGAAGCATTGCCACGTTGATCGTTCAAGTGATTCAATCGTTCCACGAAAGTTTTCACTAAACTCGAATAATTCTGAAAACGACGTTTTTACTGGCTGACGAATGAAAACCAGGATGATTTCCTTTATTACTCGAGGACCGAGAGAGGCAATCATTTCTCGGATAAAGTCATCATCAACGGATCGTAACTAGAATTCTTGAGGATCTTCGTATGATGTTTTATGGAATATTTAAATTTGTAATATGACGTTTTCCATAAAGTCATTCGATACAGTACTTGGCTTTCTTCTCGATGAAATTTTATGAATATTACGTTGGGTAAAATTAATGTTATAACACGTTGCAATAAACTTGGAAATCTTGTGGATCATAAATTAGAATAAAATAGACGGCTTCGATGAGCCGTAAAGAAGCGGTGGAGTTTTATGTTGCAGTATGTTTCAAGTATCTTTGGTTATGTATTCGATCGAATTTGTAAAATGTTTTAAATTTAATGCAAGATACTTCGTACCTTATAATATGTAGCACATTTGACCTAAGTCAAATTGTGTTGATTTGTATACATCGCTAAGTTTGTAACTGTTTGATAAATTATCGACGATAAATAATTCCAATAACTAAACATGGTGTTCGACGTCGCGTGCTCGACACTAAATGTCCTACCACGTGACATCCCTAACCTATGATTTTTACGTCAGTTGCGTCACTGCAATGTCAAGACAAATAAAGAAAGTTGAAATGTCAGGTATGTTTAAATTCCAGACTCGTGCTGTATTTCGTGTACAATACAAATACACGATATAAGAGGATTAAATGGATCGTTTATTTTGAAAGTGATGTATTTTCATTTATTTCGAGAAAATTAAAGGTTGGCATGTCAAAGAAAAAATATAGGTTAATTATATCAAGACTAGCAATTTTACTGATTGATCAATAATTTTATTATACAAATTTGTTTTGGGTGATGTAATTAAAATAATGTATATAATAATATAATAAAATAATGTATATTCATGCAAATGACCGCTTTCAAAATAAATGGTCGAGATGCACATCGACTCATACAAGCTTAACGTGCCAAGTGCTGTATCGTGAAAGATCCTCAATTAATCCGAGCAATCCGAGTAACGATTAAGAGAGAAATTGGTAGACTGTTGATGAGCAGAACTAGGACTCACCTTGGTCCGTGGCCCGGGTCCTCTGGGCCTCAGGGACCTCGGGGCGCTCGTCTGCGGGGTTCAGCGACAAGAACAAACGTACTAAATGATAACAATGATGTCACTCAGCCGACCGGCCTTACCTATATGTACAATGTTTTTTTGTCATTCGCGCATCGCAGGTTTTCTAGCAGAGCAGCGAGCGGTGGCGAACATTGAACTATACTTTCAGGCAGGAATTTGTCTCTTTACTATTTTCACGCACCCAAGGGCTCTATTCTTTCTTACGTGTCTATCACGCAACGTTTATGCTTCTTTTCATGAACAATCCCTTTACTGATAGCAATTACAAGTGGGAATTTATTCATGCGGTCTCAGCGTATCATGCGAGGTACGCGAAATGTACGTGCAGTAAGGAGGTAGCTACGGTCGACAAAGTTCATAGGCTTTCGATTTCTTTTGTGGTTAGTTTTCAAGGTTTCAGCGTTTCTCTTGTCTGTCGAGTGTATTTTTAAAAGAAACGTATAGGTAGCGATAGCTCGAAGCTACGAGTCTAAACGTCGATGATTCCCGGGTCACGCGAGTCGATCCTGAAGAATCTTCACCAGAATGCGATTACTTAACATGCAATTGACCACAATTCTACGCATCGACCGATCTATACGACGTTCTACTCTGAGGTAGATGCACATAACTCCGTTATAATAACCTTTGGAACGTTTTATCTCTCAAGTGACGTTTGTTAATCTGGGAAATTTTAGAATTTAGGGATTTGAAAGATTAGAGAAATGAGAAATTAAAGAACTGAATTTCCAAGTTTTTAAAACTTTTCGTTTTTAAATTTTTAGGTTTTCATATTTTACTAGTTTGAAATTTGTTAAGATCATCAAATTTTGAAAGTTTCAAATTGCAAAGTTTATACAATTTTAGAATATAAAGTTCCTAGATTCGTAAATTTGAAGACTTTCAAATTCCTACACCTTCAAATTTCTAGATTCCAAATACCTACAGTAGAATATCCCTAGATTCCACAATTCCAAGATTCCAAAATTTCACGATACCAAAATTTCTAAATTATGATATCTCTAGATCCCCAAATTTCTAGATCTACAAATCCCTAGATCCAACAATCCCTAGATCCAACAATCCCTAGATCCAACAATCCCTAGATCCAACAATCCCTAGATCCAACAATCCCTAGATCCAACAATCCCTAGATCCAACAATCCCTAGATCCAACAATCCCTAGATCCAACAATCCCTAGATCCAACAATCCCTAGATCCAACAATCCCTAGATCCAACAATCCCTAGATCCAACAATCCCTAGATCCAACAATCCCTAGATCCAACAATCCCTAGATCCAACAATCCCTAGATCCAACAATCCCTAGATCCAACAATCCCTAGATCCAACAATCCCTAGATCCAACAATCCCTAGATCCAACAATCCCTAGATCCAACAATCCCTAGATCCAACAATCCCTAGATCCAACAATCCCTAGATCCAACAATCCCTAGATCCAACAATCCCTAGATCCAACAATCCCTAGATCCAACAATCCCTAGATCCAACAATCCCTAGATCCAACAATCCCTAGATCCAACAATCCCTAGATCCAACAATCCCTAGATCCAACAATCCCTAGATCCAACAATCCCTAGATCCAACAATCCCTAGATCCAACAATCCCTAGATCCAACAATCCCTAGATCCAACAATCCCTAGATCCAACAATCCCTAGATCCAACAATCCCTAGATCCAACAATCCCTAGATCCAACAATCCCTAGATCCAACAATCCCTAGATCCAACAATCCCTAGATCCAACAATCCCTAGATCCAACAATCCCTAGATCCAACAATCCCTAGATCCAACAATCCCTAGATCCAACAATCCCTAGATCCAACAATCCCTAGATCCAACAATCCCTAGATCCAACAATCCCTAGATCCAACAATCCCTAGATCCAACAATCCCTAGATCCAACAATCCCTAGATCCAACAATCCCTAGATCCAACAATCCCTAGATCCAACAATCCCTAGATCCAACAATCCCTAGATCCAACAATCCCTAGATCCAACAATCCCTAGATCCAACAATCCCTAGATCCAACAATCCCTAGATCCAACAATCCCTAGATCCAACAATCCCTAGATCCAACAATCCCTAGATCCAACAATCCCTAGATCCAACAATCCCTAGATCCAACAATCCCTAGATCCAACAATCCCTAGATCCAACAATCCCTAGATCCAACAATCCCTAAATCCAAAAATCCCCAAATCTCTAGATCTGTAGACCCGAAAATCCCCAAATCCCTAGATCTCTAGATCCAAAAAATCTCTAGATTCAAAAAAATCCCTAGATAAAAAATCCCCAAATCCCAAAATCTCTAAATCCAAAAATACCTAAATTAAAAAATCTCTAGATCCAAAAATCCCTAGTACCTCAAATCCTCAAATCCTCAAATCTTCAAATCTCTACATCGTTAAATCACTTGATCCCCAGATGCCTAGGTTCCAAAATTCTTAGATCTTCACATCTCAAAATTCTCAAATTCAAAAACTGACAAATTTCTAAATTACCAAATCCCTAGCTTTTGAAATCTCAAGATCCTTAACTACAAATAGTATTATCTGAAAAACATATTTTTATAAATGTGAAGTGCGTAACTCAGCGATTCTATCTGTTAACTAGTAAATTTCTCGTTGCGCACGAATTTGTTGAGTTCTAAATTTTCCGTCGGAATCGTGTGTATCTACCTACTTAATTTATTCAGCACCAAAGTAGTTTTTTTTCGAGACACGCGATGATCGCCATGGCGGATAGTTTGAAATAGTGTTGATTGTATTTCGCGTAGGCGCGGATTTACAAAGCGACGAGTTGCGAGGGCGGTGGTTTCTCGTGGACCATGCACGAGGTCAATTGCTTCAATTCTACGGTAGCCGGTCGCAGTGTGGGCAAACTTCCGGCAGGATTCACGAATGTTAAGCGGGACCCGAGAAAGACGGCCCTTGGCTCGTGCGACATCCTGTCCGCTCGTAATTTATACCGCGATTTAGACGCCGAGACGACGACACCGACGACGATCTTCCGGTATTATCCTCAAACGACGCACAATAAGCAACACGATTCGTGACATTTTTATTTATTGCCGGATCCGAGACGCTTCCTGGTATACGCGTTGTAACACGCTGCGAGATTTCCAGCAATTTAGTATGCGTTTTCGAACTTCTAAGTCAGTTGGAAACGGGAAGTTTAATCGGATGAACAATTTGTATTATAAATTTTAGAAAAATATAGGAAAAGAGTACAAGACAGCTACTATTATAAACTTTGTAAGTATTTCATGTTTGACAAACAATTAAATAATTTGTTAAGGTGAACCATGTTGAAGGTACCTCGAATACACCTATTAAAAAAATGTCAAACTTCATAAATTTTTAAGACATCAATGTGTAAAAATTGCATCCAAGAGAGTTAATACTCATGGTGGTAGATTTATAAGGAGACATAATGATCAAACATAATATCCGAGAGATTGAACGAAGAATGCAGGAAAGAAAAGCATCGTAACTCGATGTCCTACGAAGCGAAAGAAACCTACGTATGTTATATTTATGCAAATACGGCTTGCCACAGTGGAAATAAACTGTACGATCGCCGCGGGACTCCTCCTCGCTTCAAATATTCTTTCCCTTTTTTTTAAACGCTCCTCTGTTACATGACCGAAACGAGCACGGCTCTCTATAGTTATCGTACGCCGTATTAAAATGTCAAACGATCGTCGACATCGAGTCGGATGAAAAACGAGAATGACGAATTAAAAGATTCGAAAGGTATGCCCGTGTGTAAACGGAGATCGAGGTTGTTGCGTATCAAATGGCCGATTAGGTAGACACGGAGAATTTAACACGATTTTGTGACAAAAAATTAGTGTAGGAAAGCAGCGCATGCGGGGTATCGATTTGAACCTCGAAAATGGACGAAAATTATCTTGACATCATTGGGTATTAATAATTAGTTTTAAATTTCATGATCACGGATAAAAAATTTCTTTAAAGTCTCATCTAACTTTGTCACATATTTGTAACTTTTCAAGTTTCGTTTGTAATATTATATTTTCAGTATTGATTGGTATTTTCGTATTTTTATTTTGTTATTTTAAAAGGACATGACTTGTGCTTCATCTGCATTTTTTTCTTAAGAAAGAGTTTGAATTATGTTCTTTTTTTAGCGAGGTTACAGTCGGCCATTTTGTCAACAACAACCTTCTAATAACGCGGCTAATAAAATAGTAGAGCTTCGATTCATCTGATCTTGATGGAATAAATTACAGTTGTTCCGCGAGAAATATCGCTTTATTCGCTCGTAATGTGCCATAATACGTGATCCCAGATTGCTCGTAACTAATAAGCCTTACATGCATGCCTGTCGTTTCAATCAACCGCAAGTAAAACCACATCGAACTCATGCTATTTCTACTAGCACTTTTTTCAAGAATCTAGTAGAAATTAACACCTTGCGTACCACTGGCGACTGAAATAGATAAACCCAGTCACTCGACGAAGTAAAAAATTGGGAAACCATGTAGGTTTTTAGAGAAAATCATTCGGTGTGGACGTGTGTTCAGAAGCGATTTAATAGCAACCTTCACCCAGGAAACGAGAGAAGAAAAGCAGTATGCATAGTAATTCGCTCGCAGACAATTGTAATGTTACTCGGGTAGACGAGATTAGCGCGTGTTAAGCAGCGTTAAATAAGGGTATCGATGTTAATCTCGATTTACGATCGCCAGTCAGCTGTACTTTTGAATTCATTAGAAAGGAATGTGGATTTTAACATTTCTTTGCTGAATTAAACTTTGTTCTTCACATTAGAACTTCTGTTTTATATTTTAATCATATTGCTCTCAAATTTATTCTTGAAGAATATAAATATTTATCATTCATCAAGCATATAAATATTGCTCACTATTGTCATAATAATTCTGGTTACATCAATGAATCTGTTGTGCTCATATTAGAGGAGCAAACGTAACATTCAAATGTATATATTGAATGTTAGAAAAAAGATTTAAAATAATTTACATATTAGATCTCATAGATCTGAGCAGGAACAGTAGTGTTTGACGAGCAAAATTAAATATAATTTAATTAAAAAAGTGACATAGAACAAGGATTGTACATCGAGTTTAACAGATATTCCATTTTTGCACGAAAACGATCTTGGATCCTCTCTTTCGTTTCTTCTCAAATAAATATATTACAAAAAATAAACTGCACAGCAGTGTCCTAAACTACACTTGATAAAAGAGTTTTCATCTGTCCAATAAAATGTATACATGAAATATAAGTTGATTCCAAAACTTAGAACAAGTCTCTTGATTAAAGAGAATTAAAATACAAAATGTAAATTAAATACCACTATTTATTAATAAGGTTCTATAGTCAAAAAAGAGTATAGTATCAATACCAAATTTTAGAGTCAACTTGTATACATATCTAACGATCACTATAGAAGACAATCTACCGTGGCGCAACAGCTTGGCGCCGCTTCGCAAATATCATGCTCAAAATTGATTTATGCACTCAGTAACCTCGACTGTGACCTTGAAAACTCTCACCTGCCAAGAAACAGAGATTTCAGTGATGTTTACGGTTTCACTTGATAATTTTATACTGAACAATACCTACTACCTTTTTTAACATGAGCAATTATCTTATAATTATCCTGCAGATGTTCATGCAAATATGAACTTTTATACTAGAAGTTACATTACAGAACATACTATGTCTACTATCTAATAACAACTCATTATCATTACTATTAAACAACAAAGTATGTATACATATTATACAATACATGTCAAGTCAAAATGACCTTGAATTCATGTGAAGATTAATCTGATCAAAATTAATCTGATCTATTTTAGTGTCCACATTTTTACACATTGTATGGAATACAAAGTTTACATATATTTTGTAAAGAACAAAAAAACATATGTTTTGTTCTAAGTGCATAAATATCGGTAGTTGATATATTTTTAATTGTAAGATGAGTAGAATGAGAAGATCGAAGATCGTCAGTCGTACAATGATCCAAGAGGTCCAACAGGTCCTCCGCGTTTCTCCCATATCGTTTGAAAAGCACGTGCACCACGTGTTAAACTTACGAGTGAAGTCGTTCGCAAGGCAGGCACCCCATTCTTGCCTGGAGAGTTTCAAATCTCGATTTAGGTCGCACGTGCGGGCAAACGTGCGAGCACATTTCTTCGGCCTTACCGCCTTCTTCGCTAGTCTCCTCAGCTCTTTGTACTCTGCCCTGTCCAGATATCCATCCTCGTTTTTGTCCAGCGTCACGAACTTCCACGACAACACGCGTTCCACGTTTTTGTCACCTGTCAAAAACCATTTATTATCATATGATCTCACAATAAGTAAAATATCAATGCTTACACACATTTACTTTTCAAGAAAACAGGTTTAGGCACATACTATACCATTTTTAAATAAATACTTGTTACATTGTATTTAGTACTTTGTATACATCAACAAGTATAAGGTTAGAGCTTAACTTATTAATTTATGCATTTTGTTTATTAATGTTTAGTCCGTTATTAGTCTGAAGTGTATTAAAACTAATTTCACTGTACTTTAAATAGGCGATTCTCCATGACGAATTGAACAAAACCTTTTCATGACGACATCCATTGTACAAAAACGTATTATATGTTAATGAGTACATCATTAAATTAATATCATTAATTAGAAGAACTACTTTTCAAGACAAGTGCACCAGATATTAATAATGAAATCATATCGCATGTGTTTGTATTTAAAAGATGTGTATGCAGAGTTCAGAAAGATGCTAACCATCGGCAGAGATATTGGTCCGTCTGTACTCGATTTTGAAGTTCTCGATCAGGTTCCCGTTAAACTTGGATTTCTCAGCGCGATCGCACGTATTCCTGTGTTTGCTGTTGTACTGCCTTCGCTGCTTCCAGTTCGGCGAGCGCCTCCTTTGGCCGCTCCTGGTGGAAGCAGCAGATCTGGGACCGGGTTTCAAACATCTTGGTCTTTGGTGTCTTACCGAGGTGTCGGGCAGTGGTCTGCCCTGCGGCGTCACGCACCAACAATACCCGGTTTCCTCGTGACATTGCACCGGTGCGTAAGTGCCATCCGGACGACAGACTGGTCGTGCACCCGGCCTGGCGGTCAGTCTTGCGGAGAAGCACGCTGGTGTCTCTGGATAGACAGGTTAAATCACATGGTTTCTCGTTAGATGTTATCTTTTTACGTTTGTGAGGAGAAAGCTTTGGTGCACTGATTTGATCTAGATTTTATATGATTGTAGAGGAATGACAGATAAGTTATGGTGTGAGTATTGGTGAAGTGGGGATGTGGGTACTGATGTGATGGTGATGGATATGGTGGTTTCACATTTTTAGATCTTTTAGAGGGTGGAGATTATATGACGCACTTCTTTTTTGGTATGTTGTGTTTTATAATTTTGGATAATTATTATTTTCATCATCCTCTATAATTGTACACAATTTAGACCAAATCAGTATCTAGAATATAGTCTACATCCCTTGTGAGACTTTGCTAATAATATACAGAATAATATACAGAATAAGACTCGACTGACTGTAAAGCTTTCAATCTTAATTTTGATAATTAAATATCAACTACAAATAGCAAATGACTGCATTTTAAGAACTCTTCATAGTTACAATTTATGTTCATTAATCATACATTTAGGATTACTTCAATTGGACCGTTCAAGAGTTAAAATTTAAGTTACTTCCAAAATCTGGATTTATCAATTGTAGACAAGGAAAGTACAATTACATAGCAACTTATGTAGAAATTAAAATCTAGTTACATATTGAAGTGCTAGTCACATAAATTTTACATGAGTTGATTAAATTAAAATTTATGAAACTTCAATTTCTTTAAGTACAATTTGAATTTCTCTTTTTACAATTTTCTGATTCAAATCATAGGTGTTATTCGTGTCAGACAAGAAGTCCTCTGAAACGTATGCGATGAAACTAGCAGTAGAACACATGAATCATCATCACATTTCTAACACAAGACTATGACAGAATAATTGAAATAACAAATACTAGTGAAACTAATATATTAAAATATTAAAGCTAATTAATAGAGCAGGTATCCTTGTTTCATTCCAAAAGACTTCTCGTGAGCCATGCACCATATCATTCACGCTATATCTCCTCTCAAAAATATTTCCAAAAGAACTTCTGAGTGGTCCAAATTCGTAAACCTTTCCTACAACACAAAAAGCTTAAAACAGCATACGCAAAGATAACGCAATTTACAATCGAAACAATTAGATTCGTGATTCGTTAATAACACTTTCAGTATTCCTGACACAGAATTCTAACGTACGGTTGCACATGCAGTTATAGAGATACAGTAGGTAATTACTAACATTGTATGCGAGGAGAATGCATCATCCTACCTGGACAAGGGCCAGTGTGTTTGATAAGAATAGACATGCCTTGACACTGCTTCGAAATGACCTGACACTGACTCGAATACGTAACACCGTCGCTCCCACATACCGGTGTGCTTGCACCGTCGCTCATTGTGCACTCCGCTATCCTTTTTCTGCACTCCTCCTAAAACAAACCCACGTGATGATGAAAGGTAAGCATTTCAGCAATCATTACAATTGTATAAAATTGTATATAGTGGGGTAGAATATATTGGGGTATAATTGTATATGTTGCGATGAAGTGTGTCATATGGGAGGACAAGTGGAGTACATATGTGGGACATACTGGGACATACTGGGGGGAATAGGTCTCGGGGGTTTGGACAAGGTGTGGGACCTAGGGGTAACTGGGGGACAACTTGAGAGGAATCTGAAGATATGGAAAGAGTATAGGTAGAATTTTTGAAATAAAATTTGGGAATTTTGGAATTTAGAAGTGTGGATATTTGAGAAGTTGGGGTGGTAATTTGCAAATTTGAGAATTTGGGTGTTTGGGAACTTGCATAGTTGGAAATTTGGGTATTTAGAAATTTGCAAATATTGGAACTTGGAAATGTGGAAATTTACAAATATTGGAACTTGGAAGTTTGGAAATTTGGAAATTTGCAAATATTGAAACTTGGAAATTTGCAAATGTTGAAATTTGCAAATTTGGAAAATTCCAAATATTGAACCTTGGAAATGTGGAAATTTGCAAATATTGGAACTTGGAAATTTGCAAATACTGAAACTTGGAAATGTGCAAATTTTAAAATATTGAAACTTGGAAATTTGGAAATTTGCAAATATTGAAACTTGGAAATTTGGAAATTTGCAAATATTGGAACTTGGAAATGTGGAAATTTGCAAATATTGGAACTTGGAAATTTGCAAATACTGAAACTTGGAAATTTGCAAATATTGAAACTTGGAAATTTGCAAATGTTGAAATTTGCAAATTTGGAAAATTCCAAATATTGAACCTTGGAAATGTGGAAATTTGCAAATTTGCAAATATTGAAACTTGAAAATTTAGAAATTTGTAACAATAGAAATTTACAAACTTTGAAACTTAAAAATTTTTAAATTTGCAAAACCATTTAAACCTCAAACCATTTAATAACTAATTGATTCTGAAGTAGTATCAAAGCATGCTATTAAACTCATTCTTCACAAGTCAGTAATTGCATGTAAATATTAAATTAAAAAAGTAGATTTTCTTAATACGAACAGCACACAGGTTACGTTAAGAGTGCAAAACAGTGGTCACAGCAAGAAGATGGTAATATTTCATGGCTGATAATTAGCTTAGCATATCTGAGCGATACATTAAATCATTTCAACAGGGGTAATTACTGACACGGTGGTGCGTTTAAGATTGTAAATCGGTTTTCACATTCCGTGCAATGCAAATGCATGACGTAATGAACCAGGCGCCTCTTCTGATGGATTTGAGGCGCCTTCGTTGCATGATAGAGGCGCCTACTACTTGTTAAAGAAGCCTCTGTTCCACGCTATTTCGTATGAATCATTCGTAGATTAGACTTGTTTTTGACTGATCAATTTTTGTTCTAGTATTTACATTCGTTGTGATTGCAGGATTGGTATGGAATGTGTAGGGGATTTGGTGAATCTTTGGTTTTATTTGAGGATGAAAATCAAGTTTATATTGTTAGGAATGTGCTGTTAAATAGGAAAGTGGTATTTGATTTAATTTTTTGTAATTTCAAGATTAAAATTTTTGGTAGTGTTCAAGTTTTGAGATTCAAAAAATTAAAAATACCACAATTTTTAAAATTGCAAGATTTTAACATTTAAAATTCCAAAATTCAAAATTCAAGAATTCCAAAAAATCTAATAATTCCAAACAAATCTAAAAATTCAAAAATTCCAGAATTCGAAGAATTCCAAAAATTCCAATAATTCCAAAATTCCAAGATTTCCAAGAATTCCAAGAATTCCAATAATTCCAATAATTCCAAAAATCCACAAATTCCAAAATTCCAAAATTCCAATATTCCAAGATTTCCAAGAATTCCAAGAATTCCAATAATTCCAATAATTCCAATAATTCCAATAATTCCAAAAATCCACAAATTCCAAAATTCTGAAATTCTAGAATTCCCAGAATTCCAAAATCCACAAATTCCAAAATTCTGAAATTCTAGAATTCCAAGAATTCCAGTAATTCCAATAATCCACAAATTCCAAAATTCCAAAATTCTGAAATTTTAGAGTTCCAAGATTTCCAGTAATTCCAATAATCCACAAATTCCAAAATTCAAAAATTCCAAAATTCCAAAATTCTAAAATTCCAAAATTCCAAATTCCAAATTCAAAAAATTCCAGAATACCAAATATTCCAGAATTCCAAAATTCTAGAATTCCAAGAATTCCAAGAATTCCAAGAATTCCAATAATCCACAAATTCCAAAATTCCAAAATTCCAAAATTCCAAATTACAAATTCCAAAAATTCCAGAATACCAAAAATTCCAGAATTCCAATATTCCAAAATTCCAAAATTCCAAAATTCTGAATTTCTAGAATTCCAAGAATTCCAGTAATTCCAATAATCCACAAATTCCAAAATTCCAAAATTCTAACATTCAAAAATTCCAAATTCCAAATTGCAAAAATTCCAGAATACCAAAAATTCCAGAATTCCAAAAATTCCAGAATTCCAAAAATTTCAGAATTCCAAAAATTCCAGAATTCCAAAAATTTCAGAATTCCAAAAATTCTAGAATTCCAAATTCCTAATTCCAAAAATTCCAGAATACCCAAAATTCCAGAATTCCAGAATTCCAAAAATTCCAACCCTCCAAAGTCCCTAAACCCCCACATATGTGTCTTACTACACTCTCCAATAAACAGCCATAACTCATAGCCATAATACATATATTACACACACTTCAATGAATGTACCTACACACTACACACAAGACCTCCAAAACAGTCAATAAAATCTTTAAACATCGATAATGTATCTGATCCCAAATCCCTTTCGAGTGAGTCGTTCGAAAGGTTCATGTCTGGTCACCAATTATGGCCGTAAGAGAATGCGATTCGCGGATGTGCGTAAGATAGCATAATGCGTTAGCAATCTTCTCGGAACACCAAACGATGTCGATGGATTCAAGGAAAATCGTGAAAGAATTAGTCACCCAACGAAACGTTCGTCCGCCGGTTTTAATTTTTATTCTTTCTTTGTATCGCCCATTCGAGGTGGAGTCATCGTATCCCCATGAAATGGAGCCACGCTGCTTGCAATGTTATCCTAACACGTTCATTACGCGACGAGTATTTGCAAAATGATTCATGGTCGTTAGTCATCGGAAACGATCTTGTTAGGAAGAAATTTTGCATGCAATTATACGATGAGACATTTGCTGATTTTATTGGGTGATCTGGGGAAGTGATTAAGGTGATTAGATCAATAGTTGATCAGTATAGGTCAATTAGTATTAGAGTAATTTATAGACGTGGATGAAGAGAATATGTGATTAATATTGAGTTGGACACTGATCTATGGTTGATTGTCAACAGTAGTAATGTAGATTAATTAGTTTAGGGAGTGGTTTAGGTTAGGGAGTTAATCAGTTGAAGTGGGTGGTCAAATCAGATGAAGGGGAAATTGGAATATTTGCACATTTAATTTTGCAGATTTCTCAAATCTTAAATTAGAATATCTACTCGTCTAAATTAGCAAATTTTTCAGATCTTTAATCAGAATATTTACATATCTAAATTAGCAAACTTACCAAACATTAAATCAGAATATTTTCACATGTAAATTAACAAGCTCCCAAATCTCAAATTTCTTCAAATTCTAAATCCCAAATTTCTAAATTTGCAAATTCAATGACCTAACCTAACAAATTCCCAAAACTCAAAATTTCCCAAATTCTGAATCCCAAATTTCTAAATTTGCAAATTCAAAGATCTAAACTAACAAGTTCCCAAATCTCAAATTTCCCGAAATTCTAAATCCCAAATATCTAAATTTGCAAATTCAATGATCTAAATTAACAAGTTCCCAAATCTCAAATTTCCCCAAATTCTAAATCCCAAATTTCAAAATTCGCAAATTCAATGATCTAAACTAACAAGTTCCCAAGTCTCAAATTTCCCCAAATTCTAAATCCCAAATTTCTAAATTCGCAAATTCAATAATCTAAACTAACAAGTTCCCAAAACTCAGATTTCCCCAAATTCTAAATCCCAAATTTC